AAGTTTTGTTGAGATTTGGGTTTTTAAGCATTTATATAATTTATACTTGATTTCATGATTAAATGGCGTTTTAGATGTAAAGAAGGTGTTTTTATGTCATCTTAAGACCTTAAATAACTTTATAAAGCTTTAGCACATGATTAGGATCCAAACTAAGACATTTGGAATGATTTTTGGGTGTTTCTCGAGCTTAAATAAGACATTTTTGGGTTCGAGTATCGATATTGGATGAACAATATCAATGTTGGATGATTTGGGGTGAATTTTAAGGATTTCCAATTGAAAGTATCGATATTGTTAAGGAGAGTATTGATACTACCCCCACAGTATCGATAGTCAATGTAATAATATGGATATTGGCCTAATTTTCAGCAAAAGAAACCATTTTTGTACCAATACTCATAGGGGTATCGATCATTGACCCTAGGGTATCGATACTACCCACTTTGGATGGTTAGATTCGAACTCTTTAAGGCCCATAAGAGCTAAAGATGATCCGTAATAGTATAACTTGGCCTGTGAGGGACTAAATGGCCAAAGGGGCCCAAAAACACTCGTATAAGTGAGTTACAACCGAAGTAACCATAGTAGGTGTAATACGTTAAAATACCTTCAGCCGTGTAACACCTCTAACTCGTATCCGACCCAAATCCGAGTCCAATGTGTCACATTGACTTTTCAAAACATTTTTCTTAACAAATTGGCTAAAATAACTCCACAATTCAAGAAAACGAATGGTTTACATTAATTTAAAATCATTTGTTTTTACAAAACATATCAGAGCATATTCAACTCCAATTTCTTAGTACATGCCAACTAAATTTAATATAACAAAGTACACATGGTTCACAATTCTTTTCTGATCTGAACTTCGTAAAGGAGTGGCTGACTTGTCTTTCTCTTCTTAGATTCACTTCTTGCTTCTCGGAAACTACGTGTGAAACACTCACACGCTAAGTCGATGGCTTAGTGAGACATAAAAACATATAATTGAAACTCTAAATACTTAACAATGCATGAACATATCATACCATGACATCACATAGAATCACATATATATATATAACCTTTCATATAATCAAATATATATATATATATATACATCACTCATCCTTTCCATCGTTAACCTTATTTCACTATCAATATTATTATCATTTATATCTTTTAGTCATAGCCTCTTTTACCTAACATTTTTAACTATCATACGACTCATTTAACCAAACAATACACACAACATCATATAAAATCATTTAATACAGTTCATATCACAAAGCATATACATCATATACAATGTATTTGTTATTATCTCTTTATTAGCTCATGTACACATGTGAGAACTAAAGATATGTGAGTACATAGAGGTTGTGCACATATGCTGTCACCACAACTCGTATAATTCCCACTAGGGGCACTTAGAATTTGTCCCGAAGGACCACTCCTTAAGGACCACATACATATTCTAATGGACCAAATAGGTGTACCGAAGTACCACATATATGTTCCAAAGGATTACATATATGTCCCGAAGGACCACGTAGAACCTTCGACTATTGGCATTTAATTATACCTCTAGCTCTCATGACACATAACATGGGCATTATCATTTATATCATTTCATATATTCACATAGGCATGTAGTTCACTTATACATAATACATTTACATATAATTCACATATCACATATCTCATGTCATATTCTCATATGGTCACATAGCTCATGTCACTTAATCTCTTATGTTCATATATCACATGTTCATATCTTTCCTTATGTCCATATCATATAACTTATATAATCACATAGATCACTTATACATGTTCATATGGCTTATCACACTAGCATATACTCATACAAATCATGTAACACATGCAATAACATATAACACATTTACTCATATCAAACGTATGCTTACATTCATGAATTTATGCATTATACTATAGGCGAGGCCCTTAGCAGAGGACTAAGGGAAGCATGAGACTCCTATTTCAGTGTTAGAACAGTAAAACTTAAGTAGGTAACACTTGATTAAGATCATGCATGTACCTACAGCTTAGTACCATGTCTTTAGCAAACTTATGTTTATGAAACTCATAATGTTGCTCTAGATTAGTGATTATATTGTTGGGCTTTGTAAGCTCAATGTTCGGATATTTTTCGTTCGCAGGTTAGTAACTCGAGATGTTTGTGGAGCATCATCACAGTAGGACTTCCAATCTCCTTTAAAGTAATGTATTGTAGCTTTAGTGGGCATATGTATTCATAATACTTTACTCATGTATTTAGTTTATCAAACTCTAAGTCTATACTATTTTGGTTTAAATTATGTGTCACGAAGCTCCGAATTATAAAATGTTTTATAATTGTTTATTTACATCTAATTTGAAACCATATTGTATGTTTCAAAAGAAAATAAATATGTTTTGAAAATCAGGTGTTGCCTCGGTGGCCCAATATGACACTTTAGGCCCATTTGAGTTTAGGGTGTTACAGTTACAACATTGAATCAATCTATTCAATTGAAACGATTAAATTTAAATTCTAAAATTATTCAAAAAAAATATAAAATTGCATTGGTGGATGTTGACCCTTATGTTCAGATAATTAGGGCTTGTTTGGTCCTAGAAAATATTTTCTGTTTTTGTTTCCTGTTTTTATTTTTAAAAATAAGTTTTCAGTTTGTTTTTTTTAATTAGAAAACATATTTGGTTAATATAAATGAAAACTTTGCTTTTTAAAATAAAAATAGTTAAAATATATTTGATATACTTAATTTTTCAGAATATAAATGAACTAATAGTTATTAAATAATTATATTAAAATATAATTACTAAAAAAGTTACTACATAAATTTAATATGTTGTTTATGCATATATATATATATATATATATATATTACTAAAGTTATTTTAGTTTATAATAATAATAATAATATAATTTTAATGCATATTGCACATCAATTAAATTAAAAACACACACACACACAAAATATTGTTGTAAACAAAAGCACAGAAAAATGTCAGTTAAAATAAAAAAATATGTTTAATGGTATTTAAGACCCTCAAATTTTTGGGGGGGAAATATTGTAGCTATTTAATTTTTTTTACACTCAATGTGACTCTTAAATTGAGGAAAAAATCATTCTAACCCTTTGAATAATGGAATCAAACATGACCATTACGATACTTACATGACAGTTTACAAAACTTACTTTAAAATATAGAATACTGATGTGATTGTTCACGATACTATTGTGGTAGTACATGATGAATGATGATGTGGTAGATGAGTTTAATTGATTTTTTTGACTAAGTTCAAGTGTTTAATTGATTGTTTTAAAAAATTTAAGGACTTAATTAACTTTTTAGAAAAATAAAAATTATTTAAGTTTTAAAAAATAAAATATAAACGATTATTAAGATATTTAATACATTGAATATAAAAAATACTTAAACAATTAAATTAATAAAAAATTTAGTTTAAGAATTGAGTGTAAAAAATTTAGTGACCTTTTTTTTTTGCAAAAGTTCAGGGTTTAAATATCATTAAATTAAAAAATATTGTTAAAATGATTTGAATTCATGTAAGTTAAGTTAAATTTTAGATAATTTATTTTTTTATCTTTCAAATTTTCAGAACAATTTTAATGAAAATAGTTAAAATAGTTTTTTTCTGTTTTCATATTTTCATATTTTTTGTTTTCATTTTGTAGAAATCACTTTCTAATTTTATAATCAAACACATTTTCTTAACGTTTTTTGTTTTATAAAAAATAAAAATAATCTATATTTTTAGAACCAAACTGACATTTAACCTTTTTTTTATTTTCCATACAATTATAAAACTTGATAATGCTTTATTTTTTAATTCTATAAACTATTTTAGTGTAAATTACATTGTTTCTCAGTGAATTTTACTCTTTCTCTTAGTTTACTCATCATACTTTAAATTTTTCTAATTTGTTCATTGAACTTTACAGATTGAATCATTTTGCTCACTCTGTTGTTAACTTTTTAATGATGTTATGATATGACACAAGCATCAAAACGATGTCATTTTGAAAAACTCAAATATACATCAAAACGACGTCGTTTCGAATTCTTTTCTTTCCCTTATTTTCTCTTTACTTTGCAAATAAGGTGACCGGTTGCCGCCGTCGGCTACCACATTTTTTTTCATTCCGATCGCTGTCTACCGTCGTTGATGATGGTCGTTCAGTTTCAAAATTTATGGATAGATTCGTCTCGACCCCCTGAGTCCGAATCTGATGGTTGTTTCATCGAAAAGTTTCCCAAAATCTGTGAATCTCGACTAAAACGTTTTGAATTCCTTTCTTTTAATCTCCAATATGAGGACTTCAAAGTAAGTTCTATCAAAATAGAGGTCAAATTCATACTCAAGGTGTCAAGGCGAAACGACCCATGAAATTTGAGACCGAACAATCACCATTGATGTCGGTTGACGGTGGCCGACGATGACATCTGATCACCTTCTGTTTTTATTTTATAATTGGGTGAGTAAAATATGAGAGAAAGTAAAATTCAGTAAAAATTGTGTAATTTATCCTTTATGTTTTCAATTATTTTATATTAAATAATAATAAAAATAACACATCATCACAGTTAGAGAGATAATAAAAGAGTGTACAAAATAATTCAATTTGTAAAATTCAGTGAGTAAATTAAAAATATTCAAAGTACGATATATAAAATAGGAGATATAATAAAGTTCAATGAGTAACGATGTAATTTATCCACTATTTTCATATATTATTATGTGTCTTATTTATTTATTAAAAATTATATATTAATGAGTTATTTGTTTAAATTAATTTAAGATTGATGTTCGAACATAATTATAATAGAGAAAATAAATAAATAACCTTATTGACGTGTGTTTTCTTACCTGACCACCAAGTGGTTCATCCTCTCCATAACTCGTCCTCAAAAAGCCCACCACACTCTCTTCATTCAGTATATATTATCAACATTCGGTGTGCAGAACAAAGAAGAAAAAGAAAACGAAGCAACTCTACTTCCTATTGGCTTCTTTCCATCTATTCTCTGCTTCTTCCACACACCAAACATATTCATGCTGCCACTCCCCAATCCCTAATCTCAACACTTTTTCTGTTTACCGATCAGCTTCGACCCTGAACCCCTGTTTTCGCCCAGACCCTGACTCTACTTTTCCTTGGCGGCGGCAGTGGTGGGTCAGTTAGTTCAAGACACTGGCGATTAGAGAGAAAGAAAGAAAGAAACAAACAAATGAGTAAGCTGCAAATTTCAGAGACAGAGAGTAGCTCTAACTCTTTGTGCTCTCCTCCGTCATCACCCTCATCTCCCGGTTCAACTCATTCACACACTAACTCAACTACTACTGTGGACGTCAAACCCGATGCCAGTTTGGATTCTAACAAGAGGATTAAGAGACTGAGGGATTCGAGCATGCACCCAGTTTACCGTGGCGTCCGAATGCGAAGCTGGGGCAAGTGGGTGTCCGAAATCCGGGAGCCACGCAAAAAATCACGCATTTGGCTCGGCACCTTCCCCACACCGGAAATGGCGGCCCGCGCCCACGATGCCGCCGCTTTAAGCATCAAAGGCGACTCAGCGATTCTCAACTTCCCTCAACTGGCCAACTCGTTGCCTCGACCCGCGTCATTAGCGCCCCGTGACGTCCAAGCCGCGGCGACCAAAGCTGCCCAAATGGAACAATTTGAGTCTCCTCCATCGTCTTCCACATTGTCTTCTTTGGTTTCTCATATGGACTTGTCTTCAGGGTCGGACGAGTTAAGCGAGATAGTTGAGCTGCCGAGTCTGGGGCCGAGCTATGACTCCGTTGAGTTGAAGACTGAGCTGGTGTTTATAGACTCGGTGGATGAGTTGTTTTATCCACCACCATGGCTTCAAAGCTTGGAAGATTGTGGGTATGTTTGCGATCAATTAATAGTGCCAGAGAAGGTTTTGCAAAATGGTTTCGAAGAAAGCTTGCTATGGGAGTATTAGTGTTCTTCTGTGGTTAATGAAGGCCAGTTTGTATCTTTTATCTTTTTTTGAGCCTTTTTGCTGTATTTCTTTCAAGGGTAAAAAAACTCGTTTTTTGCTATGTTTAGGACGGTAAGATGAAGAAGAAGAAGAAAGAGTCTTCAATTTTGGTTGGTGCAAACACGACGTCGGATTTAATATAAGATCGACCATTGTATATTCTCTCAATCAAACAACTTGCCATTGCAGAATAGGAAATGGTAAAAAAAAAAGCATAATTTATTATTGTGAAAAGAAAGGCCAGCCTGAAAGGCATTAAAAAGCTGTAAATTCTCCGGTTGCTTTTAGTCTTTATGGCAGATGGTGAAAATTACTGAAAGTGACTGTGTCAGACGTTTCCCCTATTAGCGTTACACTATCTATCTTATCCTTTTCTGTCTAACTTCTTTAACTTTCCATTAACGTCTCTTTAGGTTAAAAATAAGACTTGAATGCACTATTTCCCTTTAACTATGATATTTATATCGAATTGATCTCCAAAATATATTTTTCAAGATATTTTATTCTCTTAATTATGAATCATTATTTTATTTATTTTAAATTATTAACACCGTTATTTAAAAAAATTCTCAGAACAATCAAAAGTTCAAAACGCATCACAACCTCTTATTTCTAATTTTATTATATGAATAAATAAAATTTAATAAAAAATAATATGACAAATATACCCCTTTCCCACCTCCACCTTAACACGTATTACCCTTTCCCCAACCGAATACTCCTCTTTCCCCCTTTGACCAAACTCAGTCGTACTTTTGTTTTTCCATTGCCGCTGTGTTTTCCGTCTCTGCTGCTGAAGCCATCTCATGGCAGAATCTCTGTCGCCGCTCCCAAAGGTTTTTTTTTTTCACAAAATCTGTTTCCAGCAACAAAATCAGATTCAAAACTAAACAAATGGTAATTTCAAATCTCATGGAACAAAATCAGATTCAAAACTAAGCAAATGCTTTTGTTTCTGGTCTGGGATGACAACTATTTGGAAATAACCCATGTTTTGCTTCATCACTTTTACAGCTCAAACATGTTGAGCCATCCAATATCCCCATGGGGCTTTGGGGTACAAATGAAGCTGGAGGAGTTGCGGTGTAGGCGATGAATGTCGAATCTTTCATCATTGAATTCACTTCAGCACTCTTTCCGGCAATTACGGGTCTACTGGAAACCGGAATTTCATTATTTGAGGAAGAGGGAGAGGGGTTTTTGAGAAGTTGAAAAATTCAAATTACAAGGCACTTCACTGTTCTTCCGATTGTATAAAAATCCAGTGGATAGCTCAGCTTTCTTGTAAAATTCGAGTTTCTCGAAACTGTTGAAGATTTTGGGGTCAAAAAGCAAAACATCTCCCTTAGATCTATACCACTTCACCATACGAGTTTAACCATTGAAAGGAGTATTTAAGAAGAAATGTCGGTGCCAGAGTACCTTGACAAACACATGTTCTTCCCCAAAATCGAAGACGCCATCAATGTCACCGTCCGAGCCAAACATCCGGTCCCGTCCTCTTCATCGTAACTCTCTCTTCCTCGTGTTAAATTTTGATTTGTTGTCAATTCATTTTGATTTCTTTCATCAGTTTGTTCAAAGGGGATAGAGGGGTGTTGGGGAAAATAGTGCTTCGGTGAAGGTGGGAAAGGGTATATTTGTCATATTACTTATTTTTAATTTTTTATTAAATTTCATTAATTCAGATAATAATAATAAAAAGAGAAATTAAAGGGTAACGGTACATTTTCTAATTGATCACTATTTTTTTATTTTAACGGTATAAATGATTTGTAACAAACAGATAACAATTTATAATTAAGATAGTAAAACAGCTTGGAAAAGTATTTTATGAGACAACTTGATACAGATCATATAGTTTAAAGAGCAATAATACTAAAGGTGGCAAATGAGTCATTCAGATCAAGTTTGGGTCGGGTTATTTCGGGTTTAGATTATATTAAATTTAATTTTTTTCGGGTCGAATGAGATCTACTTCGAGTATACAGTAGCTTGGATAGAGTCAGGTCAATTTTCGGATCGGGTGATTATCAAATCGATTGTTTTTCGGTTCGTATCAATATCAGATCGATTGATTTTTGGGTTTCGTCAATATCATATCGGATCAATATCAGAGCGATTAATTTTCATTTTAGGTCAACCTTTAGATCAAATCAATTCAGTTTGAATTGTTGATGAGTCTAATAAGTATATATAGAATTATTGATAAATTCTTGTAAAATATATGTATTCATGTTTGTTAATAATATCATTTAGGCCTATTTTCAATTCTCAATAGTTCAATATTTTGAATTAAATCAACATTTAAAGATGATAAATCGATAATTTGACACAAATAGTATCCTATAATGCGTATTAGAATTTGTTATCAAAATTTTATGTTATATTGTATGAAAAAATTATAATGAGAACTATTTGATAAAGAAATAATTTTTTTTATTTTTTTTATTTTCAATTATAAATTTAAATTTTTTATTAAATTTTAAAAAATAATATATAACTTTATTTGTTAAATGTTAGATATAACATAAGTAAACTTTATATTATTTTTATTATAAATATAACATTATTTCTTTTGTTTTAGTTGTTTTCTATTATTTTTATTATAAATCTAATATTTTTATTACAAAAAATATAAGTAAACTTTATTTATTACTGTACAAGTAGATTCTTACTTTTATATTCCTCTTATGTAATAACATAAGTAAATTTTCTATTATTTTTATTATAAGTATAATATTTTAATAAATTATTAATTTTATTTAAATTAATTTATTATTTGGTTCAGATTAATTTGTATTCGGATTGCTTTCGAGTCAGGTTAAATTCAGTTCGGGTTGCTTTCAAATCGGGTTAAAATTTAGTTGGAGTTAATTTTGATTTCGGTTCAGGTTAATTTTAGGTTGGGTATGGTTCGAATTAGATATGGGTCGGATATCAAATCAAATTTGATTATCATATTCATGTTAATATCAAATAAATCAATTCAAATAATCAGATTTAGATAAGTTTGTCAAGTCTAAATAATGCATTTAAGCCTAAAAATAATGGGGGCGCCTCCGGAGTTTACCTTCGTGCATATAATACATTAATTAATTTTTTTGATAAAATAATACATTAACTTATTAATCTCTTTCTCACTCCCAAACAACTATGTTTTTGAAAGCTCGACTAACGCTACAATAAAATTTATTTTCAGTGACATTACGATTGATTATTAAATGTATCAAATTTAATCAATGAATATTATAATAATAATAAATTTTGAGTTGTTAATAACCATTACTAATAATTTCATCACTATTATATGAAAGACGACTTTAATAAATTTTATCACAGTAACTTATATTTTTTGTGAGTATTGTTATTTGACACAGAAAATATAATAACAATGCCAAAAATTTAAACAATAATATTATCTTTTATTAGTAACCAATATTTTGTCATAATTACAGAATTAAATTAATTAATTAAAAATTCATTATGAAATCAATTATATATTATATTTTTAATTATATATATCTTCTTTAGGGACTTACATTGTAATCATTGTCATCAGTTAGTTATTCATTAACGATATTTAATTTATGCTCTATTAATCGACTAATCTGAATTAAGTACTACATAGGCGATAACAATCTTTCCAACTTAATTTACTTAAGGGATCTAGTGTCTCATCCCGCTAGACCAATTAATACATTACATATCTTTTAAGATGATCGAACCTAGAACCTTTAAGGGAAGAGTGCAACACCTAACCACTATACTAAGAAAGAAATACTTGGTTTTTGATAAAAAAATTAGGTTAAACTATTATTAGAATTAATTTTATTTCTTTTATAAAAATATACTAATTATAATATTTATTATTATAATAATTTAATTAAATTTTCATTGATTTCTCATATGAAATATGTTCGTGAAAGAAAAATATAAAAATAATTACATTGGTTTTAAAATATAAATATATAATTAATAAGATTTAAACCTAAAATAATATCAAGTGTTCTTTAAATTATATTTAATAAAATAAAATAAAATGATAAACTTACTAATGAAAAAATATTAGTCACAATTAAGGGTGCGTTTGGTTCACGAAATGTAAGATTACTAGTGGGAATAAAAGATTACCAGTTAATAGGACTACTGTGAATGTTGTATTTTGTGTTTAGTTGGTTTAGCAGGAATGTAAGATTACCGTGTGTCGAAACGATTTTTTTTCATGGCGAGCGAGATTTTGAAAACCACACCAATTTTAATTTATTCTCTTTACGATTGAATTTTTAATTAAAAACAATGCGATTTAAAAAACCTCTCGTCTCGAAAAATTGGAAATTCCTTTACGAATTAAAAACATGGTTCGAAGAGTCGCCACCAATATTTGATTAGGGTGTGATTGGGCACCCAAAAACATTGTCATTTAAATAAAAATTAATTTTAATTAAAGCAACAAATTGAGGTATGCGTTATCAAAATCTGGGTTCGGGAGTCGGTTACGCGTGGAGAATGATTAGCACCCCCACGACGCCCTAAATCGGTACCTCGTCGATTAATTAATGTCTTTGCAACGAAATTTACAAGTTCGAGTTTAATTTGATTTATGATCCCTTCAAACAACAAAATGCGGATTTTATAATATCCAAAAGCAACAAAATAGGTTACATTAAAATTACCAAGCCATTAGAAAGATAAAGAATATTCGATTATTTAAAAATATTGAGACCAGATCTTTAGGTCAGTTCTAACGACCTTTTCTCAATAAATTTAAATAGCCGAACATTTATTTTTCTTTCACTCTCTAATTTCAAAGTGAATAATCAAATTTTTTAGTGACAATGACGAGATACACTTGTAATTTAAAATCGTCAATAACAACTTTCCTGTAAGTTAAGAAAAGCCATTTTGACAGTTTTAAATTAAAAGGGTATTAATCTTAATCCAATTATATGGTTAGATCAAGTTATGCACGTGAAACTATCATGCAAAATACAACACTAGATTAATAAAATGATACAAAGAAAAACAAAACAAATGTAAATATAGAAAATAAATATACTA